ATATATAATACCAAAAATACTACAAGTAAGCCTTAAATTTATCATTTTACAGAAACGCAGAAGTTTCAGCAGGAATGAGGAGCACAGGTAACACATTTGTACCAACCTGTCGGAGGTTGCGTGTCACTCGCACGTCATGCCAGACGTTGTCATTAAACTTTCCACTGGCAGGCTCCACCAGGGCTTCAAAAGCGCCAGAGCCCAGGTTAATTACCAGCCACAGCGCTCCGTTCCTCAGGGACAGGTTGACGTAGTCGGCCGACCTCCCTGTGTGGAGGAGCAGGCCGTTCCTCTGCAGGGTTCGGAAAGACAACGTGATTTCATCCAGGCTGCTCTGAATGGGAGTCTGAGACAGGTTGTAGCTGAAGAACTCGTTGCCTTTGAAGGTGGCCACAGATTCCTCCTGCCCTAAAAGGGGCATAAACAAATCTTAGTAAAATGTTCTTGTCAGCATACTACATTTTGATGCAGCTAACCACTGCATTCACTTTTATAGCACCATTACATTTAATGGGGTTATAACTTTAGAAACACAGTACAGCATTAAATTCTGCCAAAAAGTCCAGTAAAAACAATCTCAATAGAATACAAACATGAATATATGGAGCTGCTAAAAATGATTCATTCATTGATAATTCTAATAATCAGTGTGTTATCAGTGAGAGAAAATTACTTTAAGAAGCATACAAAAGGCTATGCTTTGTGATATTAAACATTTTTCCAATAATTATACTATTTAGTTAAATCTAAACACCATAATAAACTGACACTGTTAACATAGATTATGCTGATTATTTTATTATATATTATTATAGGTTATACACCAAACCTGCGGCTGAAAATAGTCCCAAATGCATACTTATTTGAATTATTTAAACTTGTTTTACGTCAGCTGTTTTTTTTTTTCTTTTACAGACCTTATGACGCCAAAGTGAATGTGTTGACTTAGCTAAACATCTAATTCACAGCCATATTCCAGTCCATGTAAATGCACATTGAGATGTACATGAATTGTACCGATTGTTCAGAAGGCAAATGGAAGTTGAATAAAATGTTTTGTTGGTGTTACCATTTCTTGGAACATCACCTGTTAGCAACATGACTTTCCACATGTAATAAGGTCAACTTGTGATTATTATTACATAAATGAAGACAGACAGCCAGTCAACTACTGTATGTTTGCTACTAAACTAGCTTTGTAGCTATTATAGCTACGGAGCTTGAATAGCCATAAGCTAGACAGATATCCTATCTAGCTAGTATTTTTTTAGCTGATGGTTAACTGACAAGTACATAATATGAGCATACGGTATATTAGGCTATATAGTAGCAAGAAAGAAAAAAGAAAGAAAGATAAAATAAAGAAAAACAAGAACAAGAAAAGCAAAACAAAGCAAAAGAAAAAAAACAAAGAAAATAGATAGATAGATAGATAGATAGATAGATAGATAGATTAGATAGATAGATAGATAGA